ATTCGTCCTATAGCGTAAACTATATATACATACATATATATTGGATCTGTAATACAAATACAAAACTGTGTAACAAGATACGTCTCGTCGCTTTCAATTTTTGTATGTTATTTTTTACATGTTGTTCGCTCAATGAAATGGTTTAGTTATTATGTCACTATCATTTAAATTATAGACATGAGCAATTACGATGATCCATCCAGCGAATATTCGTTATACGCTCTTTATGCGTCAACTCCGTTATGCATCGTTATTACTTTGCATACTCATACAATATTTTTTTGCATGGTTTGATCATGTCGCGAATCAGCATGTAGATCAGAAGTGTGCATGTGATTTTATTATCTGTCTGTACATTATTATATATAATATCAATTTCATTAAAATTTATCGAGTGATTCGACTTTTAACAACGTCACGAACGGCCTGTTTTGCTGATAGAATAACGTCATTGACTCCCACACCTTGGTAAGAGGAGCCGCACACTGCCAAGGGAATCCTGTGCGCGGAAATATAATCGTGGATACGCTTCTTACGTTGTGCGTGACCCACCACGTGCTGCGGAATGCAATCCTTCAAGACAGCAATGTGATGCGCTACAGGTTCCTCCGTGATGCATAAGATATCCCTCACTCCGTCGATCGCCGTTTTTAATAGCTGCTCCTCCGTCGGACTTGGCCCAAAGTGTTTCTCGAACCACGCGCCGCCCATCATTACCGTTAATACCTGTTATGTACATATAAGAAATAAAACAAGACATAAGGTAAATGTCCCGGTAATTGAACATGATCGAAATCATTGAAACGTTAATGATACATCTGTATTTAATATTTCTAAAAAAAGACTTTGAAAAGATTTTGTTGAAAGAGAAGGTATTTCTTAATGCCAATTTGTAATATTACTTAGTGAGTATTCAATCATTGGAATATTATTCGGTAATCAGGACATGATTAATTTTTCAGTTCAATTACTAGTACAACCGGCATTATTTGATATTTCATTAAAATTATAATTCATATTTATCTTTTATTATTTTGTTTTTCTTATTATTTTCCGATTGCTGACGAACTAAAGTTTTATATAAACGTCGGTTTTGTAAGTAATTAGTGAACTATTGTTAGTAATTAGTTAGTGAACTATTTATTAATAAAAATGTAAAACTCATCGTGCTTTCTTAGTTTAGTCATTGGGACATTTACCTTAGATGTGAGACTTGAACAGAGACATGTTTTTGAGAACATCAAATAAGGAACAAAGGAGAACAACTATACATACCGTGGAGGTGTTGGACTTCTTGGGAACCATGCAGGAGTCGAAGATCACACCCAGCAGAGGTAAATTTTCCTGAGGGGGAATCAAAAAGCCGAATGCCTCTAGTGGCAATACATCTCCGCGGTATTCGAGATTAGCCACCGCCACTGTTACCGAAGGTATCGCTCTGAGTTCTGCCGATAACTCGGGATATTGCTCCTGCAGTAGTTCAGCTAGTTTTTTGGCGGGCAAACTGGAGATGACGCGCGAGCACTCGCGCGCGTTGCCGTTCACCGATAGCTCCACGCGATCCGCCTTGAACGTCAGCCGTTCGCACTTAGTGCCTGTCTCTATCCTGACTCCCCGTTTCTCAAGGTTGTTGACTAATGCCAAGGGCAGTTGCTCGAGTCCTCCTTGCAGGCTCCAGATCGCCCAGTTCTCGAGCCGAGCTTTTCGCGCCAGACTCGTCGCAGATGAATCTTCCACAGACTCGTCGGCATCCTCTTTCGTCTCTCTGCTCTTTGTCCTCGAAAACAATTTCTCCAACTGATTTATCAACAAGCCCTTTACTACAGACCCATGCTTCTGCTCCATCTCGAACAAGGACTTGAACATGAAGTTGACGCTGATCTGGCGCGCGTCCCCTGCATAGACTCCACAGACTATCGGGCTGATAATGTGATCCGCGATATCTTGGCCGAATCTTCTTTGCACAAAGCTGTAAATGCTCTCGTCCTCCTTAGATACCTTCGATGCTCTCAGGTCAGTCCACAGGATGTTTATCAGGGGACGATCTAGTAACGAGATCGTCTTGAAGAGACCCTTTAGGGACGTTGGCAACACGTGCAAAGCTTGCTGCGAGTATATCAATCTGTTACGGGCCATGGGATGACTACGTCCGATAGAAATCAGCTTATTAGTTAGTTGGAGGTCCTCTATCATGTTAAGCGTGTTCAGCCCAGCTGGCCCTTGTGGCCTTACCAATCTTGGTCCTTGCTCGAAGAGCGCTCCACTTGGAGAATTTCTACTGCGAATCCATCCACCTACGCGATCAGACGCCTCGAGCAAGGCAACAGACGCTAGTCTCGTTTCATTGATAGCGTAATATGCAGCTGATAAGCCTGATATACCGCCTCCTAGTACCACTGTCATGTTTGCATCTGCTCTTCACAATGGTAGGATAACCTTGATTGGTCTCAATACAGTCTTCATGTAACCCTGCAGATTTATGTAATATATTATGCAATGATGGCTTTGTACAATTTACTCTAACTGGAGCTTAACTTATTAAAGATCTATCTAGTAAACTTATATAAACTTATATAATAAGATAAACTTATATAATAATATATTACATACGCATAAATAAATCAACCAATTGATCTATGCAGGAAAAGGCTATCTCTTAGACATTTTACAATAGATTAATCAATTTCTTTGTACATATGCACAATGTGTCTATGCAAGTTTACCCAAATAGGCTTTTAACAAGTTAAACACTGGTTAAAGTAAGATTTGGAACTGGACCTAAGGTTTATAGTCCCACAACAATAGAATCAGGAGTTAATCCTTAACAAAAAAAAATCCTGAATATAATATATATATCTTATTTCCTAAAAACATACAAATTTTATCTTCCTATTATTATATATTTGTTACCAGGTTTTACTATAGATTTCAAAATTATTTTTATGTGTATTATTTATGTATTATCTGTATGATGTGTACATACTCTTTCTTCATGTAGACAGTATAAACTATGTAAAATATTGTAAATTATACTTAAATATACAGAAAATGAGTAATCAAGTTATGAAACAAAAATGCAGTAATTGTTTGAGTATTAATTATAAGTGTAATGTTTAAAAAAAAATTGCGTGAAATTTTCATTTTATTATGTGATAAATTAGTAGATTTAATTCTGAAAGTAAGAATGTTATCAGAGAATTCTAGAAACACTAGCTGATTTAGGAAACAACATTCATGAATTTATATCAAGATTCTAAAGAGGTTAAATAAAAATATAAACTTTCCTTAATTAATTTTTTAGCAATTCATATGTTCTTTAATTGACATTGATAAATTACTTATTATTTACATAGATAACATCTCATATATAGTTTACCTTATCTACATGTAGACGTAAAATATCATCATTTATATGTAAACAATCACTGTTTTTTTTATAAATATACATACATACAAACACATGCAAATACATACATATATAAATAAAGTTCTTTATCTACACAAGTGAGATGTATATTTGCTCAATTATACTTGTAGTTGATGATTTATTCTGATGATCTGTAACTGACGATGACACGATAACATGTCATGTGCAGTAGCAGTTGTATATTTAATTCTACTTTACTAGTTTAACTTACTTTACTAACACTAGTCGTGTTTATTCATTAGAAAATAATATACAATACGAAATAAATAGAAAAATAGCAACTTACAGGTTATGTCACATCCGAAAGCACCTTCTGCTATGGCGCTGCATTATCGACTCATGTTATGTTCGGTTTAGAAACCTTTGAAACATTGTGCGCACGTTTGGAAAGCGCACCCTATATGCATCTAATTGAAAAATTAAGAGAACTTACTCAAAAAAACAAATTCAACTTGAGCTAATATTACAAGCGTATCATTGAAGGATTTATAATATTTATATTATAATTTTATTTCATGGTATTCATTATGTAACAAAATGTTATAAATATACGTTTATATATGTACAAATCATGGTTAAACTAACACTTGAAAAAGCATATGAGTAAGGAAACTACGACTGTACAATTATTATATATAAGTGATTATTACAATGTAATTTAAGTAAATTAACGTTTATCATCTTATCGAAATGAAAGTAAGAAGCGTGAACCGGCGATTAGGATATTATTATTTATCTTTTGTAAAAAATTACATAATGATATTACTTCTATTTGTATACTTAATGAATTAGTACGGCGCAACTCAACCTTCAACTTCCATCGTCGCGAGACGGAATGAAACTGCAATATTATTTCAACTGATAAAGATTTGTAACAGTATATACTGATTCGTATGGGAAGATTTAAACGGTAAAACAAGAAGGTTGAACGCGTGCTTCAGGTAGTGGTCAGGTAACTTCAGATTTTGTCTTGTCCGAAAGACAAGATAATATTCTGAAGAACGTACAGTTATTTCGTTATAATTATATATACTATCATGAATCTTTACGCTTGCCGGTTCTTTCATTTTTATTTTTTTTTTACGTTGTTATATGCAAGTTACGCGATCTTAATTGAGTCTTAATGTGTTGCTCAACTCTGTTAAATTACGCCACAAAATTGGAAGCGCTCAGCGATCGACGCTTAATAATGAGATAACAGGATTATTCGTTCCATCACTGACAACAATAATAATGCACGCCTTGACATTTCGTTGGCGCATGAGTCATCGACTGCAATCTTTCTCCGTGCACCTAATGACATTTAACACCAAGAGATAAAACTTCATCACGCATCTGCGTTGCGAATGTCAAACATTCTTCGTGCACTTGTGTGCCGGAGATCCGCAATGATAAATAAACGTTACACTAACCAATTCATTAACGACCAATTCGTTAAAAACGAAAAATTTTATACTCCCACAGTCTCTTCATACTTAAAACTTATGAATCTAAAATAGTTCGGAGAAATAAGATCTTCGCACGTCGCTCTATGAAATTGCGCTTTCTTTCTCAAATCGCTCGTGATTTCAACGAAACACCGCGATAAATATTGTCTTAATATCGCTTGAAATTGAAGAACGTGAAATTTTAGTAACGTGAGTTCACGATTTGTACGAGTCGAATCCTACCTTTATAAAAAAATGAACTTTGTGAGTCGCGAGTATACCTCACTCTTACAGCACGAAGTTTTATAATATTGCTCGCAAGTTATTAAAAAGTTTTTGTCCCAATCTCGCTGCCGTGATTGCTGGAAGCCTTCGACTTTCTATCCGGATCCATCGCGATCGAAATGAACTCCTCGGAAATCCTCTTGTCCAAGCCCGTGTAGGTCTGCGCCAGATCGATCTGATCCTCGCCGATCGACGACATCCTCTTCGGGGACTCGCTCTTAGCCTCCACTTGCCGTTTCCTTTCTGGTTCCTCCTGATCTGCGACTTGCTGACGCTTGTGTTTCGGTCGGAACTGAAATACGAGAGACTCGATTAGTCCTCGAAGCGAGAGTTTCTATTGCGTGTAGAATTTCTCTTGGAACTCGTGGAACCGCGTTGTTTTGCATCACTCGATCGGCTTTCAAGTACACGACGTATCTTACGTTCTTTATTATTAAGCCGCGCGATTTTATCCAGCAATTTAACAAGATGCTATTATGCTCGCTTCGTTGAAGCGTTACACGGCTTGTATACCGTTTATATTTCATGTACTATCGAAGACTCACCATTTGAGACGGCGGTCGTCCCGCGTACGGCATGTGGGGTAGCACAGGAACAGGACCGTACCCCGGTGCGGAGATAGGAAGAGGTCCAGCAGGCACAAATCCACCAGGGAACTTGCCGGGCGGTGCTGGCGGCATACCATACGGCGGCTGTAATCATATTCCTTGTATTATTCTCTCACACGAGCTAATTATTAGACTAATTATTAGACTATAATACTGAAGCGCATAAAGTTAAAATAACTTGTCGTTCGCGTGTATTCCCACGTGCATTATAGATTACAATTAACCGGAGCGTTAACACGTTCATCACAGTTAGTTAACAAAATGCAAACTCTAGTCTCATATTCTATTATTTAGCATCTCTTTTCAATATCCTTAATTCAAGATATTTTTAATCTTTAGTTAATGCGTTAAGGATGTTAAAAATACTTTGTTACTTAATCTTCAAATTTTAACCAAAGATTTTTTTTAACAATAAACGAAATGTATATTGTTTGAAATCATTGCTATTTTTGGAATCTCAAACAAAATATATTTCACAGCGATTATAGGCGCGCTTCTTTTTCCATCTTAAAATTGACATATAGCTTAAGCAATTCAATAACAAAAAAAGTGTACAATTTAAATCTATATAGAATTTATATATATATATATAGAATAATCTAATATTAAAATAATTTAAGTGAAAGAGAAAGGAAAGATCTCTAATGAAACAAAAATCTAAATAATTTATATCCCTTGCGATAATAATTTATATTTTTTACCGCCTCTGCGGTACTCCTCGACTCCTCGACATCATACATTAATGCTACACGGAGAGAATCTTAGCAATTTCCTCAAGCAACATCTCCTCAGTGTCGACGGCGGCATTCGTGTCTTTGAACGAGATTTTCACGACATTCGAGACGCGAGGTACCAAAGACGTGCTCACTCGCTCGCGAGAGTTTCTCCTCGGCGATCGGACGATCGGCTTGAACTTTCTAGCGCGTGTCACTGACCTATCCCCTGTTCTTCTCTCCCTCCCATCCACCCTACTCATCGCTCGAGAGGTCGCAGCTGTTGGAGGTCGTGGGAGAGGAGAGTCGCGTGCTCACCTGGATCATCGGATGCATAGGCATCACCGGTTGCACCACGTAGATCGGCTGGCTCTTCGGCACGTGGTTCTGCGCGATGACCCACTGATGGACCATGTTGCGAGTCTTCAGGTGGCCCTCGTTCACCGTCTCGTCCGCGGCATTGGCTCGCAGGCAGCCGCAGAGTTTCGGTGTCAAGGTCAGGCAGCTGTAGCCGGAAACCAGAAGCTCAGCTACGCTGGCTACCAGCAGACCGATGCTCGCCAACAGACCCGCCAAGCCGCCGTCCACTTCTATCACGTTTCCGTCGACACCCTGGAAACATATGACAGTATTAGAAACATCGTCTCGAAATATTCTTGACTAATTTCCAAACGCGAAGATCACGAGTGACCGAGTCCCAGCTGCCGGTGAGTCTGTCTCGCTATCTTGCGCGATGCTCAGAATCGCTCGCGGTTTTCTACGTGAGACGAGACAAGACTCAACGCGGAGAGTTCGCAGAACTTCTCTCGTTCTCTCGTAATTCCAGGAGGAAGCACGCTTCGGTACCGCGCGCGAACTAGCTGGTGCAAGTCGCCTAACGCGAGCAGCGTTAGCCAGCTCGCGTTAGCCGCTAAGTAACTTCCTATACGTTCCGCGCTCATGATCCGTGGAATTTCATGCCGCGCGCCGCGGCCTGACCGCGTTTTAGCCTTGGCATTGGGAACTTTCTCTGGCGGTCAAACGGTTCCATCGGGCGTGAGCCGCGTGTTCACCAAAACCGGCTGCTGCCGACACGCCGACACGGTGGATCGGGGTCATTCGCGGCTTCTCGCCTTAATTAGCGATCAAGCTTCGCGAGGCTCGCGGAGGGTTAATTAGCGCCGGGAGATGCACTCTCGATCTTTATCGGATTCGCGCCGCTGGCCTGCGCTCTGTACGCGTCCCGCGACGAGGAAGTGGAAGACGAGGAGGAAATGAGTAGTCGTCCAGTCGCGTCCCGGATTTTCACGAATTTTTAGCAACCGATTTCTTACAATCCTATCCTATACGATAAAATTAGATTAAGCCCGTATTACAAGTCCTTACTTATCTCACGTGAAATATTCCGATCGATCTAAGATAAAATACGTGTGAAACGTATAAAACATATGAAATGTGTGAAAACAAAATGTGAAAATTAATAGAATAATTTTAATTCCTTCATTCATTTTCTCTAATTGTTCTTTTCAGTAAATGCATAATTTCAGAAAATATTATAATTTGTTATCAATATTCTTTATAGGTTTAAAATTATCACAGATTTGTATATTTCATATTGACGACTAAATTATATAAATAATGACGAATATAATATATATTATATTACGTTTGTTGTAAAATATATTTTATATGTAAAAGTAAATTTTTTATATAAAAAAGCAGATTACATATACACTGAGAAAAAAATATTGGAAATTTTATTGGAATAAAGTTTATTTCTGTGAAATAATCCGTCATTGTTTACATAATTTAGTCGTACAATATGTAATATAAGGCACTTATTGAAAAAAAAAATTAAAGAAAATTAATAAAGAAATAGAAATTATTCTAATAATTTTCACGCTTCTATAGTTTAAATCTATATAAAATGATCTAATAATAGAATGATTTAAGTGAAAGAGAGAGGAAAAATATAATGATAAAAATCTGAATAATTTACTTTCTGCTGTAATAATTTACTGTCCTTCCTACCTACTGTCGTCCCTGCAATACTCCTTGATTCCTTGACATTATACATTAATACTATACGCAGAGAATTTTATAGTAAAGTTATTAAAATACACTTCAAATACGATAAAAGTAATATTTCTATAAAACAAATTACTATTTTGTAGTCGAGAGATATCGATATTAATTTATTCCTTCCGTGTTTCATATGTCATTTGGAAACTAGTGTCTATTATTAAACAATTTGTCATGCTTCTTAGCAACATAAACTCTATTAACAAACTATTTCAACACGGCTAGAAATCAGCTTAATAAAATCTAAAAAGATTTTATACGTAAAAAAAGCTATAATATTCTTGCCGTGTACGTTTGACTTCCAAGTTGTAAACATGCTCTTTGTTTTATAAATATTCCATCGTTAATTAATCCGATATCACATATAAGAATCAAGCTATGTTGGTTTTTATAAGTCGTCAATATCTTTTTGTGATTGAAAATCTAAGATTCTTGGAATAATTATGGATCCTGTGCGACGAATCAGAACTCGAACTCGAACGTACCGAGAGGCTGAGCAGCGACACTTCCGGCGTCCTCTGCGAGTCCCTGACCACCGCCGTCAAGGCCGTGATCGCGGCCATGTTCGACAGGGCGAGGGCGATCAGACTGGACGCGAGGTGAGCGGACGAAAAGGCGGAATTCGTCTTGGTGGAGGATGTTGCTAACGTAGCGACTACTCCAAGCGCGCCTGCGACCAGAGCACCCGCACCTGCCCAAAGTCCTGCGCCGGAGCCGCCTAAGGAGGCACCGTGGACGAGCACCAGGATACCGAAAACCACCAGGACGACGCCTGAAAGAACGGAATATATATAATTCAGGGTAACACATGGAGAAGTGACTGCAGCTGCGATTTGGAGATTTTAATAAAAAAAAATTGTTTTATAATAATTTCTTTAAAACAATAATAAATAATATATTCGGAACCTTATATTTTTTTATATCTTTATCCATTTTTTTGAAAAGATTTACAAAAAATTGAGTTTTTTTCTTGGAATTTGGATCGAGTCGGAAATATTCGTGCTCGAAGTAACGCGAATTTTCTCGCTCCTTTGACCATAAGGATTTTTTTAATTATTACTTGCGAGTTCCTGCTCTCCGACACGGGCGCGCGCAATTTATTATAAGCCTTCCTGATAGTTATCGAGCGATGTCAGGTGTGAAAGCATCGACGAACATCGTATGAGACAATGACCGTATTACGGTACGATCGCGAGATCTCGATTCGCGGCGGAATAAATTGCAGTGACGCAAAAACACGGTGCTTTACGGTCGCGCGCAAAATGAGTTGCATGTGTACGACTTTCTAAGTGAAATGTTTTCACTCTTACGTCGGTTTCTGATTTATGTGCATTCGGCGCTCGTGATTTCTCGCTGAAACACGCGCGCATACACGAGAACCTTGCCGCCTAAAACGTATCGCCGCTTAACCGCCATTAATTCCATTGCGGGAATTCTCTTAATTAATCTCTCTCTCTCTTTCTCTTAATTAAACGCAGGAGGTTCGCTCATGAGGCAAATTAGAAGCTTCGTTAGAAACGCCTGGAATACGATAGATAGTTATATTCTAATATACTCAAATTTATGTATTAGAAAATAATAAAATTATGTAAAGTAACAGAAAGTATCGAATAAATTGGATACGTAACGATTCTCGATTAACACGATTATTCTTATGAAAGACATCAAGTTTATACTAACTATTGTCTGTATTAATAGTCGTTTTATACTTAAAACTTATATCAAGTCGAATATTTAGATTTGAATTTAGAGTTGGATGCGAGTTTTTCAATTAAATTGCAATTATGGATATCGTATGATTCAAATGAAAAACTCTGGTGCAATTTGAAATTCAGATCTGAGTATTTTGTGTGAGACAAATTTCAACTAAGGATTATTATTATACGATCCTATAATTCTAGTCGTAAATATACGTGCAAAATTATCATTATAATCTTACAAAACTTTTTTTATTAAGCGATTTTTCAATGATAAATTATTTCGATTTTTATTCCGTTGTATCTTTTTCTCTCTTTCATTTAGATTATTTTATATTATTAAATCTAGATTTAGATTATTTTATTTTAAATCGAGTATCTTACGTAAGATAAATTTCAAGTAAGGAATTTTAACACGAGCTTATAACTCTACAATCATATGTATACCAAAGTACCATTACAATTTTACTAAATCTTTTTAGACTTATCAGTGGTAAATTATCTAGACTTTCATTCCATTAGATCTTTTCTCTCTCTTTCATTTAGATTATTCTATATAGATTCTGTATATACACAGATTCAGATTATTTTGTCTTAGATTATTCTACGTAGATTTGTGAATCTATCTGTTAATTTATCATCGACAAGTCTAAGACATCAGTAACAGAGAGAAATAATTAAGAAAAGCGACGGGTGTGAGCACTCAGTCGTGAAATGCACGATAACCATCGACGCTATCAGTACAGCCGGGCCGCGCAAAGTGGGCTATCCGCTTCAAATCGTCTAGTCAATGGCCCACTTATGACCCCCGGTCTCTGCTGCACCCGCTACATCGTGCCATTTACCGCGGAGTCTCAATTACGCGCGTCACTTGACCCCGACGAAAACCGATACTAACGATGTACATCGCGCGAGAGCACCAAAAGCACCGTCAGGTAAGCCATCTCCTGCGCGCGTCAACAATCACGAGTGACTCACCGAGCAGCAATTGTCCGCAGGACGTGAACATCAGCAGATTCGAGTCGTCCTTGGCCTCAGAGACCGGCAGACGATGATCTTGCCGGTCTTCCGCGGCGCGTTGCCGCGACTGATGATGATGCTGCTGCTGCTGCTGCGGCCGCTTCTCCGGGATAAGCACATCCTTGGAGTGTTTCGACTCGAGGCAGCTCTCCGGCTTCGATTCCGAGTTGGCCGAGTCCTTCGACTCCTTCGAGTGGCTTGAGTGCTGGCTTCTCACCGTGGAGTCGAGCGCGATCACCGCGTCCTCCATGTTGCCGCTGCGAGTGTGGGACGATCAGCGCATCGCTGGCTGTTTTACGGGGAGAATATTGCCTCCTCTTGGACGCGATTATATACCGTTGATTATCTTCGCTCGGGACGAAGACAATTTTCCGTCTGTAATCTCCTTCACTCTTGTGCTCGCGCTCCTTCACTCGCTCGCTTATTTGTTTCCCTTCAAGGTGGACACCTGATAAGTGCCTCAGTCGCGACTGCGACTACGTTCTCCGCTCGATTGGCAAATTTTCCACGATTTTTCACTCGTCGTCGCAGCCTTGAGCGCAATCTGGCGCCGCTGCATCTTTGTCTCGCGCCGAATTAATTCGATATCGTGGCGTGGCTCTACAAAGTCGCGCGCGCTGTTGGTTTCGTTGAAATAAGAGCGTCCTCGACGATGTTACTGCACGAACATAAAGTGTGCCTTTCTTTCTCTCTCTCCCTGACTGTTATTTTTCGACTCGGTAAGGAATTCTGTTCTCTTCGATTCGACCGATTTGGAAACTTACGCGTAGTGTAACTATGTAAATGCACGTATAAAGATTCAATCGCCTTTCCTTTGGTGAATTTTTGGAATTGACGGAAATTGGTATTTACAGAATGGTCACATGAGAATGCAGCAGTTGTCTTCGTTGTGAATCGATTTTAATTACTGTTTTGTAATGCTCGTCTTCAAATTAGTGTCGCCACGGCGGAGGATCGCTTATCGGCTCATTAACGTGGTAATCACTGATTAGGCTGGCGATGTGCTCAAGATCGTTAGTATCTGAAAATGAAAATGTCATTGATGTTTTACGAAGAACAAGATCACACAATCGAGAACAATTCTCCCTCATTTGTATTCTTTTCTGTGTGTTATATTCGCAAACTTTAAAGATATTAAAGAAAGGAAGAGGAAATCATACTACAATATCGTGTAAAAATTCGTATTTTTCTATTAAATTCTCGTACGCTGAGAGAAAAAATATCTAAGTAAATAAAAAATATTTATTCAGTGAGTACTAATAATATATTTACTGAGAAGTCTAAATTCTTTTATTTAAACGGAATAAACAGTTGCTCTTGTGAAAAGCTAAGATTTTAAGAAAATGTATAATTTCTTATTTCAAAAATATTTTGTGTTAGTATATGTAAATATATTATTAGTACTACTATACACAAATAAATATTTGTTTAAATATCTTTCTTTTAATGTAAAAAGTTTGAATATTAAAAGGGAAATAGAAAGTTCTCTCGATATCTCGAAAAATATTGAGTCTCGTAGTCGATTGTTCGTAAAAATTATTAAGTTGTCGAGATTGGATAATTTCGTGTTCCATTTGGCAAATACAATAAAGCTTTTGCAGCAATCTAAGGGAGAATTCACATCTTAGTAAAAAACAGAAAGACAAAATTATTATCATAGTCATTAACTCGCGCTGACAGAAAAGTGAGAAATATCATCTGACTGCTAGCGCAAGTTTTGATTTACTTCTGTGTTTTTGCCAAAGGAATATGAATTCTCTCCAAATAGACACAACTGGAACAAAATAAGATGAATTTATTGTCACGACAACACCGTTATTCACACGCGTTCGTCGATGTATCTACAAAGAGTTCGTAAAATTACATTCACAAAATTACGCTAACACATCGCGATTTCATCTTTTTCCCCACGAAAGCAATTGATATCGCAATCAAGATTTTAATTGGATTCAATTGAGCAGCGCCGTTCTATTCTAGCCACAATCGCGCGAGAAACACGCTATGACACCGCATTATGATCGTCAGCCGCCGTGAAACCATCCGCGACAATCACCCGTCCGTTGACGAACGGCACGTGAGAAAACGTTAGTTGAGACCCGCGAGATTCGCGTGCGCGAAAGAACATATCAAGCGCGAGGTGAAAAAAAGAAAAGCATCAGAACAAGAAACAAGGAGCGGATAATTCGCTGTATCGTGAATCGTTGTGGAGTATCGTACAAGTCGCTGTGTACTAAATCGACGAATCCGGTTTCCAGATCGTCACGGCCGGATTCGTTTGTGGCACGTTATAAAATTCATCGATTAATCGCCGAGGATTTATCAATGGGCATCGAGCACGACGAGGTATATTTCCAATTCAAAATTAAGAGAAGTTCTGATTTCTGGATAGCGCCGAACAATAGGAACAGTTTTTCTCTTTCGAAGAAATGGATAAAGATATTAATATAAGATTCCGAATATTATTTATCATTGTTTTAAGTATAAAGAAATTATTTTTTAAAAAAGTACAATAGCAATAGTAGTTTTTTTTAACTTAAGTTTAAGCTTAAATTCTTTTCTAAAAATGTTTGATGTATTTAAACAGAATTTAAACTTAAATCTAAGTTTGAACTGGTATAAGTGTAAAAAATGTGTGTGTAAAAAATCAATCCTAACTGATGTACAACATTACAACTCATAATAATTTAAAAAAAATTGGGCAAAGAAAATTAAAGAATTATATTAAATTTGCTAAAAAATAAATTTTTGTCATGTGCAAAAAGTCGAAATTTAACAAAATAGCGGTATACTTAAAAGTTACATGGCATTTTTCTCTCTCCCTTTTTTCTTCTTAGTATAAAATAGTAATTTTTACACTAAGTAGAAGAAAATAATAATTCTGAGGATTTTCCAAAGGATTTGGGTTCATCCTTCAACAAACCTAATATAGCTTTTAAATATTCTTCTCCAATTTGCTTCAGATTACTACACAAGCTGTAATGTTATCAGTTAGAGTTAGGCGTCCAGCGTCACAATGGGGTCAACACAAAATATCTGGGCGCAATTACAATTTTTAGAAATATTTTATTTATACTTAAAACAATTATAAACAGTATGATTAAAACTCTATACTAATATCTTTATTCATTTCTTTAAAAAAATTCCTAGAAACCTCCTATTTTTCGACTGTCTAAACTTGAATCACCCTTCAATGTTTCCGCTTGTCAACCGTTACGGCTCACATTTCGAATTGATGTAACTAATTAATTCGCCACGTAATCATCAAAAAGACATGGTAAATATGTGGATTACTCTTAAGAATGTCCGATATGATATATTAGGTTGGTTTAAAAGGCTTGTTGATAAAATAAAATAGAAAATTATAGAAAAAAGAAATTATCCAATTATGAAGATCAATCAGGTAAAATTAACAATATCAACTCGATAATTTCCCAGATTTTCAAAAAGGATTTTCCTTTTAATATATTCATCCCCCAAGAATTCGCAAAAAAAAAATGACAAATCCTCTCCCACCAGCTTAGTACTGTCGCAGCGAAGATTATCCGAGTCGACAAATCGAAACGCAAAAATCCTGTGAATTTTGTAAACAAGGCGATTACGTAACTGTTTATATTTAACCGCGTCGTGCTATCTCTTTTAGCATTTACAAGTAACTTGTAAAACGCAGCAATGCTGAGAATTCACATGAAGGCAAAAATAATACCTTCCTTTTCGAAAAAATGGGGGATGTACCTTCTCGGAATCTGAAAAATCACAACGCGCGGTAATCTCAGATTAATCGCGACGACCATTAAACCGTCTCGGCCGAGTCCTTCGCTTCTGGTACTCGTGAATAAACATACGTAACGGCTCTCTCACAACAGCCTGCGAGGCCTCCGCGGAGCACTCGCGGCGTTTCGAGAGCTCGACGGAGATCATTATTACGTCCACGTCGAGCGCGCTCCGGCCGGTACTACCTTCGCGGTATCCTTTTGCGCCTCGCGAGCAACGCTTTTCCCGGCTTCGCTCGGCGCTCCACGTCTCTCCGCTTTCTACCTCTTTTCGCAACTCGCGAGCGCAGGCGGGCGGGTAGGCAGGCTGATACCGCTATAATTTCGTCGGCTCTCAATTTTACACGCTCGAGATACGGAAAATTGAGCCCCACACCGATCGCCGCAAGTTGAATCCCTCGTATGGCGGTGTGAATCGAGAGAGAAGTAAAATAAACGAAACTAAGAAGAAACTTAAACGCGTTTTAATAGTTACCACTTGAAAATCATCTCAATGAGTAAAATATACACACTTGAATTCAAAGTTTGGGAAGAGTTTTCCAATTGAATCGCGCGATACTATAAAGTAAAAGTAAACAGTGCCCGGACAAGGATTCTGGACATTCTCATTGTCTTTAAATATAAATATTTAAACTTTCAACATAAAATATGTATAAGTATTATTGAGTATATACATACATTTTGTATTCTAAAGAATTCTAAATATTTATATATTTGTATTTAAAGACCAAAACAATAAGAATGTCCAGGATTAAGTATGAATTAATAATTTTATCTTATAAATAGTATAAATGTCATAAAATATCCCGTAATTCAACTGAAAAACTTAGATTTAATTTTGAATGAAAATCTAAACATTTCATATGAAAGACAAATTTCAAATGACAACTATTAATACAGGTCTTAAACCTTGAATCCCTTTTATCGATAAAACTGTTTCTAAATATGACTTATGAACCTTCTGATTGGTATATGAGCACATTTAAAAAAAGAGCGAAAGAGAAAAGAGAGAAAGAGAGAGAGAGAGAGAGGCATTTTTATCGATAAAGAGAACTTTAGAATAAGAGCTAGAGAAAAGCACATGAGAAATACACAGAAAATCAGTAGGAAATTATTTTCCCAAGATATCTTCAGGATTCTCGAACCCTCAACTCACCGAGACTCCACCGACCCGAGCCCTTCTACCCTACCGAACACTCGCGCTCCGATTAATCTTCCTCTCCCTCGCAAATCACACGATTCACGTCTCAGCAAGACATGAAGGAGAATCGCACGAATGTATCTCGCTTTCAGCACATATCTCGTTGGGAGCAGCGCGAGTTGCGCAAACTGCGCGATCGGCGGTTATATTACCGATATCTCGTGATCGTTCCTTCCGGTTCACATGATCCGCGAGGATCGCGCCGGGCACTACTGCTCGGGCACTCGCTCTTCCGTGATCGCGAAATGCACCGTGCGACCGATCTGTCGAGCGTTCGATCGGTGACTGGAGTCGTGCGCTGAGAAGCACAGGTAGGTTGCAGGTACGCCTGTGCTCCTACCTGCTCCTGCGTCTCTCTCTCTCTCTCTCTCTCTCTCTCTCTCTCTCTCTCTCTCTTTCTTTCGCCATTCCCGGCGTGTACGTGTTTCCTATCCACGGCGTGCACAGCTTCCTCCTCTCTCACGCCCGCTTTTCCTCCACCGCCTCTTTCTTCCTCCCTGCTCCCTTCGCGATTTCTTCACCGCGCCGGAATTCGCGAAATTGACGCGAGAGATCGATCACCTCGCGAGCAAGCAAGCGCGCCTCCGTTGGCGGAAAATGCGTATTCACGCGAAGGTTGCGCGCACTTGCATGGAAATTAAGTCGCATTCTCGAGGGGGTCTCCGGGGGATCATTCCACAGCGGGATCGGATAAGCGCGCGAGAGCATTACGCGCTTTTGCCAAGAGAGAGAGAGAGAGAGAGAGAGAGAGAGAAAGAAATCCGAATTTTTCTTCTCTCCAATGAAAGCTTTCCGTTCTGGAATTCGCGCGCATACGCTCAATGGCGGATTTTTCGCTCGCGAGATCTTTCCACCGGTCGAAGCGTTGGGAAAGTCGCGGCGCGCCCATGTGAGCGCGCAAATCGCGGCGTGCCTAAATTTATTTGTTTCCTACGGTTTACAAACGCGCCCCGTCTGGAATGTTCTCCGCGGGATCGCGCTTTTACTCCCGTCTCACGCCGTCCTACACACCGCACACTTCTCCTTCTCGTTCCCGGCGCGTACGTACGC